AAGATTTGGTAATGCTGCTGCAGAAGAACCTCTATCTAAAAGACAAACACCTTCGTAACAAGGTAAGACATTGAAAGTAATCTTTAGTGTTTTATCAAGGTCGGACAACTAAATTAGGTGACTTAATGCTATCTGTTTTCATCCATCATGCAACTATCTTAATTAAACTTTTATTCACTTTTTTTCCCTAGAACCCCTGAAGCAATATCAATTGATTTTGCTATGTCATTACATTTATAGGCTTATATAATAGTCTCTACTAAAAGGGCTTGAAAGATAGGGCCAAAACCATCAAGCTCAATGCAATATTCAGACAGTCTATTCCCTACTCTAGGACATTTGGTGCAGGATAGGCTAAGTTTATGTCCATTGATCATTATTTTCTTTAAAATGGGGAAATTTAAAAAGCAGAAAGGGATCTGGGGCTCCTGTCCTAATGGGGAGTTTAATTAGGAGGAATATCAAAATAACTGGGGGGTTTCATCATTATAGGGCTGGCCCCCGGGTCTAAGGGGGTCACAGTTTTAAGATAAAGTCATGATTCTTGGTTCCAAACATTGAGACCCATGGGGGGCTAAGTTTTTCATATTTTGACATCTTTGAATTTTTTTGAAAGGAACTACAGATGTTAGACGGATTAAAATGAAAGGTTCACTTAAAAAAAAAAGTAAAATCTGCCCCTGGGTAGAGCTGAGTTGATAATACATGTATATTAAATATACAGTACACTTTGGATGTCTCATTTCCATATCATAATATGCTTAGTCTTATGTTGATTCAGTGTCTAATTTATACATTTAATTTATTTTAATGATGTCTAAATATTTATTTTCCTTAGTCGAATATTCGATTGCATTATTCAAACGATAATCGACTATTCAGAACAATTTTTGAAAAAAAATCTCATCAAATGTTTATTTATAATTCGAAAACCCTTTTTGTAATTTTTTGTAAAAAGTAACATCAACAAGTTATACAGTGTATTACACACTGTTATTCAGAGGAACCTAAAGTAGGGATAAGTTGTTAAATGAAATCAATTTACACCCGCAATTCTCCAAAATGTATGAATTCTCATAATTCATTTCATTCTAGTACGCTTAGAGAATTGTCCTCAGTACGGTGTTTTTAAAGTTTATTAAAAATAAACTGGAAAAGGGGAGGGGTAAACATACACCATTCGCACGTCAGGTGATATTGATAAATAATGATGTGTTCAATTATTGATTAGTCGGGCAGTTAAAATGTTCTTACTACATGTACATGTATGTAAGATTATTGTTTTAATAATTATTGAAGTTTCAAAACTTCACGGCTATGTTTTGTTCCTATAGCATTCGAATACTGTAGAATCATCAATGTTCGAGGTAATAAATAAATTTATTTGTTTTATTATGTATTTAAGATACAAAAACTGTTTGTTATCAACGAAATTGGTACAAGTTTTAGGCCAATTAACGAATAAAAATGATTCCACAGTCAAAATCCGGTAATTGGTACAAGTCCAATTAATGATCCTCAAAATCCAATGTAGCGACGCATAATTTACTACAATAACAAAAAAAGATCAGTAATTGAGAAATAATTATTGCGGTATGTAATTACTGTACTTTCCATATGTACAATGTGAAAATTCATTTAAATACTGTGACTTTTTTCAAGCTCTTAATCGTCTGAGGGCGGATACTATAATGGTTTGAGGAATGACACTTTATCAATTTTGAGTTGAGAATTTCTTTATCACCTTTTCCTGCATTTATTAAATATTGGAATGTTGTTTCATTATTCGATCGTTGGTCCATTCGACTGATAGTTGAATAGTCGACTATTGGTTGACATCCCTAATTTATTTGGTTATAACCCTGATCAAGGAACTTGTTTGTAAGGAAACACAAGTCATATTAAATGTTCTTGAACATTTACTTAAAAATGATGTATTTGAAACATTACAGGGTGAGATGAGTTTTGAAAGAGATGAATTAATTGAGGGCGGTCGTAAAGGATTGATGAGCAATGGGGTGAATTACAGGGAGATTAGACAGTACCACCGGGAAAACCATCTTCTCCGATTTTACTTTGTCACCAGATGCTACAATACCTATGTGGAATCAATATTGTCTGACATCAGCAAAGACCCCAAACCAGATATCATAATAATGAACTCCTGTCTGTGGGACATCAGCAGGTGTGTATAACTTTGTAAATGAGCTGGATGTTAGTACTTATAGCTGTAGTACATGTCATTACTGTTAATTATCCCCCACTGAAAGTTGGGAATGTTAATTTTGGTCTCTCTGTCGGTCCATCTGTCTAGCTGCATTTCTGTCTGTCTCTAACACTTCAGTGTCCTTTCGATATCTTGAGAAGCCTTTGAGCTTATGCAATTAAATTTTACAACAACTCCCTAGGGCCTAAAGAAGAGGCCTATTAATTTTGAGGTCAAAAGGTTTAGTGAAGGCTTAATAAGACAGTATTACACATTAAGAAAAAATAGTGTCTTGGTGCAAAATTCTTAAGGAAGGATGATAAAAGATTACTGGGTAATGTATATAGAATATAATTTGATTAAGTCAATCAGTAATCAAATCAGTAAAACTTTTTGAACAATGTAAAGTTAAATTTTTGTTTGTGTGATAGTTAGAAATAATGCATTTATTTACTCTCTTTAAGATATGGAAAAAATGGTGTAGAAGAATACAAGGTGAACTTGGTTCGCCTTTTTGACCGTTTTAAGGAGATAGTGTCACCTGACTGTCTTGTCATTTGGAATGCCACTCTGCCCATCTCAAAAAATGTACGGGGAGGTTTCCTGATACCAGGGATTGAGTTCATGAACAGTACATTAAGACTAGACATACTGGAGGCTAACTTTTATGCCCAGCAGGTGGTTGTGTCTCACGGCTTTGATCTTCTGGATCTTCATTACTATATGAGGAATCAGCTACATCGCAGAGCTGGAGACGGAGTACACTGGGACCAAACTGCTCATCGCCGCATCTCTAACCTACTCCTGACACATATATCAGGTAATTAAAGGGCCAACATTGACTTTGTACCCCGGGATAGGGTTCAGATTACTGGGACGGACATGCATTACACCTTCGTCTTTACACATGGACATCTAGCTAGCAAGCAAACTGCATTATTAAATTTTATGTTTTACCCTTAATAAGGTTCATAGCTCCAAGTTAGCATTCAGGCCCCATCCTGAGGTTAAGTTAGTCATATTATCATTGTGAAAATGCATAAATTCTAAAAAAAGAAACAAAACAAAATCCTCTTCTCTCTCCTTGTATATTCAGCAGATAAAACTAGATGGTCCATGTTAAGAAGAGAAACATGGTCAAGGTGTGAGGGAGAGGCTCTGTTGAATAATATTAATTATTTAATAAAAATTTATATACTACCAAAATAATCAAAACAAACCTTCTCTGAGATTGCTTATGCCTTTTATCCAAAAAATAAATCCATATAATGATACGAAAATCCAATTAATTTTTGAATTTTTCCATGTATCCTCGATTCAAATTACCTGCCATGTTTACAGGGTCTCTATATATTCCTAGTAAATGCACTATGAAGTTATCACCCGTGTTTCTTTCTGCTACATTACGAATATTAATGATATGATTGTGATGAGCAATGATGCTTCTTCCAAAATTGTAAACCTAATGCCCCCAGGGTTAGGAGTTCTGGTGTTAGAGTAGAGTTGTATTGAATCTTATATAAAGAAAATGCCTTATTACTATTTTAATATTGCACATAGTTTTTCTGTACTTATAGAGGCTTGGCAAATGAAACTCCCAGGGCGATCTGAAGAAATCAGACAAGCAACAAACCAAGTTGGGCAGCAGTTCTTACCAAGGAACACAGGCAGAGGCCAGTTTTCTGGTGGTCATCAGTATAGGAGAGGTCCCAATAACTTCAGTGCTTCTGCAAACAGATGTGGAGGTTTGAGAGAACCTGATTATAGATCCCCGGTAAGCAATCTGTATGGTAACTCTGGCAACATGTGGAATTCAAATAACAATGTTCCATCGGAAACGGCTCCAAATCCAAACTCGCATTACCAAAGGTCTGCTCTGAGAAGAGAAAAGGCAACAGATACTTGCTATATGAGATGCAAACAAGAAGAGGATTATTATTACAGTGGACAGGAACAGTTAGGGGAGCCAAGTGCTAAGTCAGAGGAGTTCCGCAAAGATCTGCAGATTCCAACAGGAGATAGATTTCACATGATGGATATCAATTCTAACATTTGTGCACCCTTTACTTGGAAGCCTTACAGTGAACAGAATATCCCAGGACACAGTAAATCAAGAGGCTTCAATCAAAAGAGGAATCCATACCACATGAGGGGGAAAAGGAACAGGAATGATTCCAATTGCAACAAGAAGTTTGTGTAAATGTTGTATTCAAAACAATGTGGAAAATGGTATCTCAAAAAGAAAAGATATTTCTTGGGACAAAAAGTGTTTTGTTTTGTTCAATGAACATCAAAGGTTGGTTACCTGAAAAATGTTCTTTTTTCTTTTATTAACATAAGATTAAGTGCCTTTTTTTTTGTAAACTGTTGGTATTTTAAAGTTCATTAATAAATTTGTAAATTAAGAAATCTCTGTTTTATCTATTCTGATTGAAAACTAGAACATGGTCAATTTTAATAGTAACATGTGCACGATCTGTCTGTGATAAGATTGTTTGACCACCAACTTCTCCATCAGTACAGTTTTGGTTTATCTTTGTTTATTTTTGTAATTCGTAGTTGCACAGGAAGACTATATCAACATACTTAAAATACAGCTGGGGACTTGTTCAAAAAAAGCCAAGGGCAGGCTGTTGTTACCCCTCCTAGTCACAGGCGCTTGTTCCATACAGTACGATAGTTTTCTACCATTTAGTAGAAAACTAGCGTACTGTATGAAACAAGCGTCTGTGCCTCTTGGGCATACCTGAACCAAACTGCATAGATGTCTGATGATGTTACAAAAAAAAATAATAATGAGCTTGTTGTCTGACCTATTCCTTTATCATGGAGAACTACAAGAAGGTTATTATACCTTTTATATATACAGATTTATTATGACCCAGGAATTTATCATCACCTTGATACATACACGTATTTGTTTTGGCAATTTAAAGGTCACTGGCAGAAAACTTATTGAATTTTTGAAAATGAAGGGCCTCACCTTTTTTCAAGGAGAGATAGTTACGATTTTATGAAAAAAAAAAAATTAAAAAAAAAAATCTTATGAACTACTGTATTTGGAAATATGGAACTTTTGTGGAGTCATTGAGAGTTGTGCAGATTTGAATTAGTTGAAATTATGACCCTTGGGGGTGGGGTCAAAATGAGAGGTCATGACCCTCTCGAGATAGGGTGGGGCCACTGTGGACAATCAAATTCAAAGTTTTACATAGGGAAAATCTTCTCAAGGACATAAAATCTGATTGGTCATATATATATGGAAGTATCCTCTGGTAGTTTAGATTCATGTTTGTTCAAATCATGACCCCAGGGGGTAAGGTGGGTCCACATTGGGCAATGATAGTTTTACATATGAATACACAGGAAAAATCTTTGAAAATTTTCATCTTTAAAGAACAGCTAGCAGAGCCATGAATAGTTTAATTACATATATAACTGACGAGCAAAAAACTCCTTTCCCAAACACAGATCTGCATTTCTAGGGTCCAAGGTCACTTTGCAGTTTAGGGGGGAGGGGTCTTTCTAGATCACTAAATGGATTATCTTAGGGTATCATGTATATTTTCATCACTGTCATCGGTGTTGTAAACTTTTCACAATTTTGTCTTCTTATCTAGAACTACTGAACCAAACTTGGCATAAAGTATGTTTGAGTGAAGGGATTCAAGTTTGATCAAACAAGGGCTAGATTGAAAGTTTTGAAAAAAGTCACAGTTATTCAAAAAATATGAACAAGCATCCTGAAGATTCAATTTTGTTAAAATTCACTTTCAAAGTGCCAATCAAGTTTTTCTTTAATAAATATCACTAAGTGATGGTATCAGATTTATAATTTAGTTTTGACCATTTTATATTAGAGGCAAGATCAGGTCAAGGTCATTACTTTTTCCCTGAACATTGAGAGTAAAAAATACCTGCATCCAATCATGCGATACCTTCTTCTTTTTCAAAAGATAAAATATTTTTCTTTTTGCATAAAAAAAATATAACGATATCGATATTAGGGTCTATAAGATGATATTACCAAATTGACATAAATAGTTTAACAAAAATGGATGGGCTTAACCAAATTTTTGTAAAATTTAAAATATATTTGTTATTTTTATATGCGTTTGATATTTATTATACCCCACGCAACTAGTTGCGTGAGGTATAATGTTTTTGACCTGTCCGTCAGTGACAGTCAGTCAGTCAGTCCTTTTTTTTTGTCAGCGCAAGTCCTCATAAACCGCTGCACAGAATTTCGTCAAACTTTGCAGATATTTAGGACACAATGTGTAAAGTGAATATTATCAGGGAATTCCGATTCCTTTATTTTTTCCGGGAATTTCGGCACATGAATAGTTTGTCAGCGCAACTCCTCATAAACCGCTGCACAGAATTTTGACAAACTTTGCAGGTATTTAAGACACAGTGTGTAAATGTGCATATTACCAGGAAATTCCAATTCCATATTTTTTCTGGGAATTTCTGCACTTTTTAACTTAGGCATTTGGCCATACCTTGAATATAGAGATGAACAGTTTGTCAGCGCAACTCCTCATAAACCGCTGCACAGAATTTCGTCAAACTTTGCAGATATTTCGGACACAATGTGTATATGTGCATATTACCAGGAAATTCCGATTCCTTTATTTTTCCCGGGAATTTCTGCACTTTTTAACTTAGGCATTTGGCCATACCTTGAATATAGAGATAAACATTTTGTCAGCGCAACTCCTCATAAACAGCTGCACAGAATTTCGTCAAACTTTGCAGGTATTTAGGACACAATGTGTAGATGTGCATATTACCAGGAAATTCCAATTCCATTATTTTTTTCGGGAATTTCTGCACTTTTTAACTTAGAAATTTGGCCATACCTTGAATATTGAGATGAACATTTTGTCAGCGCAACTCCTCATAAACCGCTGCAAAGAATTTCGTCAAACTTTGCAGGTATTTAGGACACAATGTGTAGATATGCATATTAACAGGAAATTCGGATTCCAGTATTTTTCTTAGAATTTCCACACTTTTCAACTTAGATTTTTGGCCATACCTTGAATATGGAGATGAACATTTTGTCAGCGCAATTCCTCATAAACTGCTGCACAGATTTTCGTCAAACTTTGGAGATATTTAGGACACAGTGTGTAAATGTGCATATTACCAGGAAATTTCGATTCCTTTATTTTTCTGGGAATTTCGGCACTTTTCAAATTAGATTTTTGGGGATATCTTGAATATAGTGATGAACAGTTTGTCAGCGCAACTCCTCATAAACCGCTGCACAGAATGTCATCAAACTTTGCAGATATTTAGGACACAATTCGTAGATGTGCATTTTACCGGGAAATTCCGATTCTTTCAATTTTTTACGGGATTTTCAGCACTTTGAGTTTTGGGGGAGTGTGGGGTATGTGAGCTTGCTCACTTTTTATACCCCCCGCTTGAAAAGCGGGAGGGTATATAGTAATCGTTAATTCCGTCCGTCCGTCCGTCCGTCTGTTTGTCCGTCCGTCTGTTATTTTTACGCTTTGGGGTATCCATCTCTTATCCGTAACTCCTTCTATCCCACTGATTAAAATTTAATGAGCCTTTCACAGAATCTTTATTACATATTGCCATTGTGCACCTCCTATTTTACTTTTTGATCCGACACATATTTTGGGTTTCCCGGTCACAGGAAAACATGGACTTTTTCACCAGTTATAACCCTATGGGAGGCGGGGGGTATCATTTAGTGAGCTCATCGCTCACAGTACCTCTAGTTTTTCATTTTTTTTCCCCTTATATTCACATATGGTAAATAATTCAAATAGAGGTACAAAAACAAAAAGTTTCAGAGAGAAAAAAACACTTTCTACAGATTTTTAGCTCTTATCTACAGGTACTTAGATAGGAAGCTTTTCAAAGCTAACATAATTGTTTGGAAAATCATATTTATTACATTTATTTGTCTATTTTGATATATTTAAAAACTTCAATCCCTTATTATTAATTTACCTCTACATTTGAAAAATTCTTTAAGTCTTTGATTGTGCAAAAATATAACTATATGATAATTAAATTCAATGTTCTATAATAATTTTGATAATCAGGAAAGAAGATATTTTTATATGCCATTTCGCCAAAAATATGTCCCTGCTAGATTTCGAACTCAGTTCACTGTATCTATTCAAAGTTGCACTGTGAGAAAAGATAAATATTACCTTTTAAAATGTGTTATTTTATCTATTTTCCCCCCTGAGATAAATAAAAGACTTTAGAATTCAGTTTTTGAGGAAAATTTTGCAAATATTAAAAACTCGGCTTTTTCAGTTTCTACATATATAGCTGGTGACATCAAATTATCTAAAATTGTTTCAGAAAATATACAGTGTCGCTATGACTGTCTCTTAACCTCTCAGTGTGAATATCGGTTCAAAATCACCAAATACATCGGGATCGGGATTTCAGGACAACAGTCCCACGTGGTCTTGTCTGAGCCTCTTTTTCGATATCCTTAGAAAAGTAAGCATGGGAAAAATATTAAAGTAAAAATTATTTGATAAATAAATGTACTACTATCACTTTATTGGTCTACATTTATGCATCGAATTATTACTATATTCTGACAGTAATAAATACGTAAAACTTATTCGCATACACCAATTTGAATATGAACAATGATATGAACTTGTAGCCGTAGGGATGAAAGTTAAACTACTCCATTTCACGGTTTCCGGGCCATAAAATGTCAAAAGCTACAAATGTTACCTTATATACATATTAATTAAAGGTATCATGTTGTTATGAAGCGGGCACATATGCCCATTATTTAACAGAATCGCAAGAATATTTTGAGATTGAATTGTAAGCTTTATAAACTTGTACAGTAACACGAACTGAAAACGTTACTACACACTCTCTGCTACATGTAATGATGTAGTTAATGAAAAGATGTCCAATTGTTTTCCAGATCGTATGTTTTGCGAACTGCTGTATTAACATTTGGCAAATATGTTGATATACACTCCTAGCACATGGGCCAAATGTCACTAAATATTTGCCATCTTTGAAATACACTACAGTCATCTCTCAATAGAAAGGGGAGAAATGTGAACATAACATTAATAGGAATACAGTTTAGAATGGGTTTGTTAAAACATTGAAAACAACAGAAAGCTAAACAGAGAATTGGATGGGAACTCTCTAAATGTAAAGATTACTCTGATAAACGGTACCTGATAAACAACCTTTTATTGGGTCATTACAGAAATACAGTGTCAAG